TCCCCAGCAACGCTTGTCCGTGGTTCCCAACGTCTCCCAGATCATAGAGCAGGGAATCAAAATCTGGGCGGGTGGGTAGCAGCCCTGAGCGCCAGCCCATTCTGGCCCGCAGGAATGGAAGCCCAGAGCTGAGTTGTTCAAGGACTAAGTTCTAGCATTCTAGGGAATGGGATCGCACAGTGAACGATACAGACAAAAATCCTCCCTCAGTGGAGGATTATGTTCTGGTCAGGAGGGGGCGTTTTGTGGTCCATCGGAAAGTGATAAGTACTATTAGAGACAGAGAGCAAGGAGAGGGATGGGGAATAGAAGAAAGTAGGGAGGTGACCATTTTTAAGAGGGTTATCCAGTTCATACCCCATCTCTTCTGACCGGAAATTCACACGGTGGTGAGGAAGCTTTGACAGTGTGCTCATGCCCTTGGAATTCACCGTCCTTATCATGTGCCCTATTGCCTAGAGAGATGGCAGAATGGCTTACTGAAGGTTTAGTTGTGGCACCAGCTAAGAGACCACACCCTGTGGGGTTGGGTTGTCATTCCACAGTAGGCAATACATGCCTGCAAACTGGGAGCGGAGGTGGTAGGGTCTTCTTGCATGTGACAAAGAATAATCCACTGAAAATGTTTTGTTTCCATCCACACACCCCTGGGCTCCCTGGATTTTGAGGTTCTAGTACCCAAAGGACCCCTACTACTCCAGGGAACAGACTCATGGTTCAGGTAGATTGGAAACTGAGTCGACCCTCTGGCCATTTGGAAATCCTCACTTGCTGAACCGATAGAAGTTACTATCCTGGATGAAGTGATAGATTCCGACGAACGAGGGGAAACCGGGTGGCTTTTCCAAATGAAGCCAAGAACTGTGTCGAGAACCCAGGAGATTTCTTCAGGCACCTCTTTATGTGGCTTTGTTCAAAAATAATGGTCCATAGGAAACTGTGCCAACTGATAGATACACCACTAAAGACGTTGCTCCTGTGTTACATCTTGACTTCTGGTGATTGGCGATCGGCCATATGGGCATTCACATACGTATATTTATACATTTACATATGTCCATGCCCATGTAGCCAACCAGCGAAATCAAGACATAGGGCAGCTCCAGCACTCCAGCTGGTTCCCCTCATGTCCCCTCCGAACCAATCCCCCGCCAGAGGTAACCACTACTCTGCCTATTTTTGACTTCATATAAATAGACTCATAGAGTATATATCCTTTTTTTTTTTTAATGTTTATTTTTGAGAGAGAGAGAAAGACAGAATGCGAGCAGGGGAGGGGCAAAGAGAAGAGGGAGACACAGAATCCAAAGCAGGCTCCAGGCTCTGGGCTGTCAGCACTGAGTTTGACGTGGGGCTCGAACTGACAAACCGTGAGATCGTGACCTGAACCGAAGTTGAACGCTTAAATGATTGAGCCACCCAGGTGCCCCCTTTTTTTTAAGTTTATTTGTTCTCAGAGACAAAGCACAAGCAGGGGAGGGGGAGAGAGAGAGAGAGAGAGAGAGAGAGAGAGAGAGAGAGAAAATCCCAAGCAGGCTCCATACTGTCAGCATGAAGCCTGATGTGGGCTCAATCCTATGAACCATGAGATCGTAACCTAAGCCGGAATCAAGAGTCGGACGCTTAACTGACTGAGCCACACAGGGCCTCATATATTCCTTTGCATCTGGCTTTTTAAACTCAGTATTGTATCTGTGAGATTCACTCATCTGCGTATGGCCTTTTAATTGGTCTGTAGTATTCTTCTGTATGAATGTACCACCATTTGCTTACTCATTCTGCTGTAGATGAATGTTTGGGTTATCTCTAGTTTGCGATTATGACGAGTAAAGCAGCTGTGAGCGTTCCTATACCTGTCTTTTGGGGAAAATATGCATTAGTTACCACTGAGTACATACACCTAGAAGTGAACTGTCTGAGTCACAGGGAATATGTATGTTTAACTTTAGTAAATACCGTCAAACGGTTTTCCAAGGTGATTCTAACAATTCATTTTTTAAAAAAGATTTTATATTGAAGTGATCTCTACAGTCAACGTGGGGCTCGAACTTACAACCCCAAGATCAAGAGTCACTGCTCTGCCGCCTGAGCCAGCCAGGGGCGCTGAGTCTAGCCATTTAAGACTTTTCCTCACAGTGTTATGAGAGTTCCAGTTGCTCTGCAATTATTGTCTACACTTTGCGTTGTCAACCATTTTAATTTTAGCCAACACGTTATGTCAAAAGTTCAGAACAAAAAAAGAGAATCGGGGCGCCTGGGTGGCTCAGGGTGGGTTAAGCGTCCAACTTCGGCTCAGGTCGTGATCTTGGGGTTTGTGAGTTCTAGCACGTCGGGCTCTGTGCTGACAGCTCAGAGCCTGGAGCCTGCCTCGGATCCTGGGTCTCCCTCTCTCTCTGCCCCTCCCCTGCTCGCATTCTGTCTCTCTCCCTCAAAAATAAATAAACTTAAAAAAAGAAAATCAGCGAATTGCTGAAGTAATAGTTAGAAGTTTATGGTGCACCCACCAAAAAGACAGTTTGCAAACGAGGAGCACTCACACCAAAACACAGAATGAGGCTCGGAGGTATATCATCATAGAGCAGCTTCTAGAGTGTGGAGCGTGGAAGCAATGACTATTTGCTCTTTAGTGATTGGGTACAGTATTAGAATCTTCTAAACTAAAAGGAAATTTGCTGGTGGTCGCCTCACATCAACTTTGGGGAACTACTTTGGTTTCACTTGTGATTTTCAGAGGCACAAGCAAGGTCAAGTTAGCTTTTGCTAGTCTTGCAAAATAAGCTAAATTAAGCTTTGCTTGTATGACGACACTGGCGTTGTCAACTCAGAATTTTCGAGTCTGGTCTCCATTTGTATTTGATTTTAACAGGTGGATGCTTGTAGTATCTCATTTGCTCTTAATTTGCATTTTCTTGATGAGTATTAATGATGATCACCTTCTCAGGTGCTCATTAGCCGTTTTGATATTTTCTGAAGTACCATGCTCAAGTACCCAAAAATGAGTTGGTATTTTCCTCATTGATTTGTAGAAATTCTTCTAACGTTCTGGAAAGAAGTCCTTTGTCAACAATGTGTACAACAGGGCTGAGCTCGCCGTTGCCCTTGGCTGTGGAGCCGTGTTTTGGCACCAAGGGCGCAGCATCCGTGATGAACGTAATTCAGATTGTTTGTGACCACTGGGTACATACACTTGTACCCGTGGGATTTGTCCTTGGATGTTATCTAGACAAAAAGAATGATGAAAAACGAACTGCCTTCCAGAACAAGAGTGTGTTGCTTAAAAGGGAATTGAGACCCAGTGAAGAAGTCACCTGGAAATAAAGGCTGTGACTGAAATAAAGAATGTTCACCTTAAAAAAATTAGGAAATAAAAACACACTATTTTCAAAACGTATTTCAAGTGTATGTATTGAAAGCTTATGTACCCCACTCATTCTGAGGCTTGCCTTCTTGACCTGTCTTGACGAGAAGTTGTTTTTAAAGTTTATTTGTTTGTTTCTTTATTTTTGAGAGCGAGAGAGACAGAGCATGAGTGGGACAGGGGCAGAGAGAGAGGGAGACCCAGAATCCAAAGCAGGCTCCAGGCTCCAAGCTGACAGCACAGAGCCAGACACGGGGCTGGAACTCACAGACGGCGAGATCATGACCTGAGCTGAAGTTGGCTGCTTAACCGACTGAGCAGCCAGGTGCCCCATAAAGTTTATTTTTGAGAGAGAGAGAAAGAGAGCACGAGTGAGCTGGGGAGGCGCAGAGAGACAGAGAGAGAGAGAGAGAGAGAGAGAGAGAGAGAGACAGAAACCCAAGCAGGGTGGCTTGATCTCAATAACGTGAGATCACCACCTGAGCCGAAACCAAGAGTCGGGCACTTAACTGACGGAGCCCCCCAGGCGCCCTGAGCAGTTGCTCTCCGTTTTGATGAAGATTAACGTTTTATTTTGTGGTGAGTACTTTTTAAAGTACTTATTTGGGAGACTTCATTTACTCCAGAGCCATGAAGGCATTCTCCTAAGTTTTCTTCCAGAAACTTGACTGTTTTACCTTTCACGAGTACGTCCACAATCCATCTCAAACTAGTTTTTGAGTTCGGTGGGAGGTAGGAGAGCCAGCACCTTTAAAGGAAAGGACCATTGTTTCCTCAAGGATTTGCAACGCATTCTTGACTCTGGGCTAAAAATTAGCTTCCCTGCGCACAGATTGAATTGTGCCATTCTCCTGCCTAAGTGTTTTCAATGGCAACCCATTGTTTAGATAATGTCCAGGCTCTTGCTTAATGTATCTTAACAACACCCCGCTCGATTTGGCCACTTCCAGTTTCACAAGCCCAATCTTGTGTCCATCACCCCACTCTAAACTTAAAGACACGCTGAGCAGAGCGTTCCCTTGGACACACTCTCACCTCTGAACCTTTGCCATACAGAATGCTTCCGTAGGTTACACTACTATTCAAACTTCAGGTCTTACCTCCTCCAGGAAGCCTTCTCTGACTGCACATTCCCTGTCCCTTAACTCTAGGTTGAGTGACCTCATCATGTGCTCTCTTGTACTCCGGCTTGTAATTGTGTTCCGGGGTTAACTTCTCTGAGGGGAGGGAGGCCCATTTAGTTTACATGGAAGGTGTCTCGTAAATATGATTGAATCCGCCACGGATCCAGAAAGCGGGCGCCTCAGGGAAAGAACGGGGTTACAATTCTCAGATTGAACACTTGGCGAATAGGTTAACACTTCTGAGCCTCAGTTTTCAAATCTGTAAAGTGGGGACGCAATAGTCTCTATGTAGGCCTGCCAGAAGCATCAAATAAGATGCTGCACAGAAATCCTTAGCGCAAGGACAGGCACACAGCGGACACTTTTAATATTAATAAAACCATAGGGACTCACTTTTCCCTTGCGCATGCGCCGTCCTCCGTACGCCAGCTACCCTGCCCGGCGCGCCCCTGCGCGTCCCCACGCGTGCGCGTGTTCGACCGGAACCCCAGCCCTGGCCGGAGATGAAGGGGCGGGACCTTCGCAATACGCCTGCGCCCTGAGAGGCCGTGCGCCGAGGAGGCGGGGCCGCGCCGGCGCGCAGGGCGTCCCGGCTCCTGAGCATAAACAAGAGCGGGCACGGGATGAGGCGGCGGTTGATCCCCGGGCAGCCAGCTGCGGCCAGCGAGGCGGCGAGCGGGGCCAGGCGCCGACCCTGAGCGCACCCGACTCGCCCTCCCGCGCGCGAGCCCTCGGCCGGGGCCACCCTCCCGCTCGCCCGCCGCGCGCCCACCATGAACCTGGCGAGTCAGAGCGGCGAGGCCGGCGCCGGCCAGCTGCTCTTCGCCAACTTCAACCAGGACAACACGTAAGGCCGGGCGGGGGTTGGGGCCCGAGGCCTGGGGCCGGGAGGGGGTCCGGGCCCGAGAGCCGGGGCTGGGGTGGGCGGGAGCCTGAGGCCGGGTTCAGGGCCGGAGATTCGGCCTGGAGGTTCGGGGTGGAGGCCAGGGCGGGCGGGGGCGTCCCCGGGGGCGGCCTGAGCGGAGGAGGGGCGCTGCCCTCGGGGACCCTCCCGGCTCTGCGCTGGAGCTGCGATCCCTGGGCGGGGAAAGGATGGGAGATATGAGGTTAGCCACCGACGGATAGGTTGCTTTACCTACCTTTTGGGACCTCCCTTCTCACAAAGTTGGGGCAGAACTTTGTGCCTTGACTTGTTGTCCCAGCCGCTTCTGGAGCAGTGAGCGTGGGTTTCTTCCTCTTATCCCACCTGCCCTTTCTCCTCGGCCCTCTTCCCCCACTCTTTCCCCTCTTCAGGTCCTTCTTGTCTCTTCAGGCCCTTCTCCTTGTCTCTGCATTATCTTAGTGCCCTTTTCCTTTCTTTCCCTTTCTTCTTGTCTCGTTGTTCTTTTTTTAGGTAACTTCGATGTCCTGCCTGAGCAAGAAACAAACTTAGCCTTAATCCTGGCCTCTGATCTGGGGAGAAACTAAGTCAAGGGGGATGTAAGACACCTGAGGAGTCTTAGGCTTCAGGAATGGCCCATAGGGAGAGATATTCACTGATGCTACAACCCATGATTTGGAATGCTGTTTGTCCAAACGCCTATGGGTTTGAAGCTGATTCTTCAGAGGCTGTCTTGGTGACCTGTGAGGATAGTTACTAGATGAAGTTTCTGGAGAAGGAAGGAGCTGTGGAAGGGAGGAGAGCCATCTTGGGAAGTGAGTAAGAGGAAGTGATGTAAGTGAGGAGGAATGGGTCATTGGCTTCATAGTAAGTAGTTGGTCGAGTTGTTACTGGCGGAATGGAGTCAGCAAAGTAGAAAATGAGATTTTTTTTTTTTTTTTTTAAATGAAGAGTTCATTGTAGAATGGCAAGCAGGCATCAAGTCCGTGGCATGCAGCGGGTACTCGGTAGCGCCTCCCCAGAATTGTGAGGTTAGTGCCGGGTGGCCCGGCAGTGGGACTGCGCTGAGGTTAGAAGGAAGCAGATCCCCTTTTCCCAAGTGCAAATGAGGAAACTGAAGTTCACAAAGGCTCAGAGCTGTGCCTGGGTCCTAGAGTTGGTTAATGTGGAGTGTGGGCAGGCCCGAGTCTCTTCCACTGCCCTTCCCACTCTGCCACTGTCTTCTCTACCTAGAAAGTAGGATTTTGAGGATGGTGAATTTAGGCATCATACTGTAGCAGTCTTTAAAGATTAAAACTACCAAACGCTTAGTGTTCCACGTGAGTAAAAACCAGCACAGCAAAAGCATTTTGAATAACCTGTTGCCAGTGGTTGTGATCGGGATAGACTTATGTTATGTGAACCCAGGAAGCGAATAGAACATTTCAACAGATTAGTTTTTAAGCCCTTAGTGTTTTTTGTTTTTGTTTTTAAATTTTTTTTTAACGTTTTTATTTTTGAGACAGAGACAGATCGCAAGCGGGGGAGGAGCAGAGAGAGAGGGAGACACAGAATCCAAAGCAGGCTCCAGGCTCTGAGCTGTCAGCACAGAGCCCGACGCGGGGCTCGAACTCACAGACTGTGAGATCATGACCCGAGCCGAAGTCGGACGCTCAACCGACTGAGCCACCCAGGTGCCCCAAGCCCTTAGTGTTTTGAGATCGGTTAAGAAACGGTAGCTTTCTGGGTTTTTATGTCTTGTGTAAGTTAGAGAATTTCCAAAACGTTTTCTACCATTTTTTTTTCCAGCTTTTCACTATTCATCATTTATGTTGAAAGGAAATCAAATATGAGAACATATTCTCTTTGGCTGTTATTTCAAATGGGCTTTCAAACTACATACACAGTAGAAAATGTCGGTCTGGCCTGAAGTTAGACCTTTTCACACTTGAAAGTCACGTGCTTCCTCACTCCTCAGTGAGTCTGGAAGTTCAGGAGGTTTCTGTGTCATAATTTGGATTTGCCAGAAACCTTGATATACTATGAATGTAAACTGTTAAGAAATAGTAGGATAGGATTATAGTAAATTATTAAGAAATGGGAAGATAGGATTTAATCATTGATTAAAATGACTAATTTGTCTTGAAGAAATAGACATGTTTATGAGGAAAGGCTATACAGTTTACCCCTTTGTCTCCTTTACCCGTCTCCAGAATTTAATAGAAGAACACAGTTTTTCACAAGACAAAGGTTGTCGGTCTAGGATCCACATTCACTGTGTTCAGGGAGAAAATCTGGAAGCAATTTCACTTAATAGAATACATGTATGTTACACAATAATGCTTAACAAAAGAATATTCCCTGTACACCAAACTGTCTGTCCTGCTTTTTGTACTAGTAATATGGTTTCAAATATTGTGTTAATTTTCCTAGGATTCTCATCCTAAAAGTATGAAGAAGTGCTTTTTTTTTGTTTTTGTTTTGTTTTTTTACTATTTGTTTATTTTTTAGTTAGAGCAGTGAAAGAGGCACTGAGAACAGTTGTTTTCAGTCATCTCGCTATTAACTGGTTAGTTCCAATGCTGGTTTCTGAAAGTAACCGTTTGAACGGTTTACTTTGGAGGAATTTTTGGCTTTTGAAATTGAAGTTAATAAACTAGTAAGAGTAGCCCTGAAATGGAAATGTCAAGGACTAAATTCCTCCAGTGGATGCCGCTCGTCTAGTGGGAAATCTGTGATTTGGCGATGTCCTTTTTAAACTACACTTCAAAAAGGGGTAGAATAAAGAAAGGGACTTGATTCTCCTGGTCTCCTGTTGACAGGATTGAAGTTGTTAGTGTCCAGAAAATTATAGAGATGCTTGTTTAACTGAGTTTCTTCTACAGTGACAGTTGTTATTCTGGGAAAGTCACTTCTCTTCACTTTTTTCTCATCAGTAAATCGAGAGGCTTGATTGTAGATGGTCTTTAAGGATCCTTCAACCTTAAAGTTTTAGGCCATTCTGTCGGCTGAGTAGAGGGAGTGTTGGAGGAGGGCAGGACAGTCACCCAGGAGGATATTGCCCAACAGCAGTGGCCCGTGGAGAAAAGACCAGTCAGCCATCAGGACTTGGTGTGACCCGTGGGACAGGCATGGTGCAGGGAAGTTCAGGTTACTCCCAAGTCTCTGGTTTGGGTCTAGTGTGAACAGTGATTCCATTATGGGGACTCGGTTTGGGGCAAAAGATGAATTCTGCTCGGCTGCTATTGAGTTGTCAAGGCATCAGGGCTAACCAGCTGGAGGCCTGCGGTGGAAATGCTGGGAGCTGCGGGAAGAGCCTGCTGTGGAGCAGACTTACTAAGTAGGGCCCCAGGGTCTACGAGGTGTCCTCCTTGGGTTCCTTTTTATGCGTGTGGACTGTTGCCACCTAACTCTAATCAAGTAAGATAGTAGGAAGGGAAAGCCTTTCGGGACTAACTACTGGTAAGAGTTTACGAAAGAAAAAGGAGTTAAGAGAAAGATCTGATTGACGCTTTTTTTAGTGGAAATTCACTATCTTTTAGATATTGAGCGCTCAAGTTTCAATTCAGTGATAGACTTGCAGTTAAAGATGGTGCATCACACAGAGGCATTTGTTTTGGCCCCTCCCAAAACCCTGCTGAAATGTCAGTCAACAGATTACCCAAAGATATATATTTAAGCTTATTTATTTACCGTGGGGAGAGGGGGAAGCAAGGAAGGAGTGGAGAGAGCTTCCCAAGCAGGCTGTCCGCACCGGCCTGACAAGGGGCTCCACCTCCGGAACCTTGAGATCATGACCTGAGCCGAGATCAGGAGTTGGCCGGTCGCTCAACCGACTGAGCCTGACTGAGCCACCCAGGCGCCACTCAATATTTTAAAAGACTGAAACCCATAGGATAGGGAGAATGAGGAAGGAGTCACTAGCAACATTCTAGAAGCTAGCAAGTAGTACAGGAAGGTGATCCCGGATTGCTGGTGGAGAAAGCAGAGAGCCAACCTGGCGTAAACTGCAGAATCCCCAAAAGTCTCAGGATTGGCAGCCTAGGGAAGCTCTAGAAGTGGAATAAAGGGGGGTGTGGTGAAAATAAAGAGGATTGGCCCTCAGCATGTCTCACAAGCACTCACTCTCCCATCCTGGCAAAGGACTTAGGCCTCGTCTCAAGACTATATAACAGGGTCTCTGGATTTTGACACCAGGCACAGGTGAAGGCCGGGCTATGGTGTTGAAACGTGGGACTGAGTAAATATAACCTTTTTTCTAGGATAGTAAGCTGGTTTTTTTCCTTCGGCAGTAAAAGATCTCATTGTGTTACCTTAAAAAAAAAAAAAAAAAAAAACTACACAAACATTTATTGGGGGATAAGGTTATTTAATAAGGGAATTTCAAACTTCCTTGTTACTGTGCCTCTCCCATTAATATGTCTGCCATTGTATGGTCAGGCAAATCATGAGAAATTATTAAAAGCAGGATCAGTCCCAAAGAGGGATGTATGAACCTGATCATTGGTGCTACCGCCCTTTAAAAACATCCACTTTTAGGGGGTGCCTGAGTGGCTCAGTCGGTTGGGCGTCTGACTTCGGCTTGGGTCGTGATCTCACCATTCCTGAGTTCGAGCCCCGTGTCAGGCTCTGTGCTGACAGCTCAGAGCCTGGAGCTTGATTCGGATTCTGTGTCTCCCTCTCTTTCTGCCCCTCCCCCACTCACACTCTGTCTCTCTCTCTCTCTCTCTCAAAAATAAATAAAAATAAAAACATCCATTTTTACTGATAAAATATATACTCGAACTATTCCGTGGATATATAGGGAAAAATAATCGAAATATTTGTGCTTGTATTTCTTATTGATGGAGGTGCACAGCAGTTTTACAAACCACGCAATTAAAATTGTAGCTAAGGTATTTAATATCCTAAAGCAGTTTCTGAATATTTGTAAGGACATCAAAGTTCTGATGTTTGATCACCAAAGGCCAGTTTTGACAGATTCTTTTGTTCGGAGCATAGAATCAAAATCTAGTTTCTCATAAACCAGTTAAAGCTCATTAAGTTTGCCCATGAAAGAAGCCCTCCCTAAGCTTATTTTATATATAGTGTCAATAAGGTTGGCGATTGGGTTTCTAAGGCAACAAATTAGAAAGGGAGAGGAGCTGTTAATCCTGGGGAGAGGGTCACAAGGAAGTGACACCTCTCTGCAAAAGAATAAATGGAAAATATTTTTAGCAGCTCAACACTACAGTCTGACCATTTGTGGTCACACACACAAAACCCTCATCTCCTTGGTAGGGTCTGAGAGGGTCACCGTATTGTAATAGTACAGTAGGTTTAATGATCACTCCCATAGGACTCCAGGAAAATGTTAAGAATCTCCCACCCCCTTGTGATAGGCATACAGGAAAGCATATACAAGAACACCTTTTTCATTTTTTAAGCAAAAATAGAAAGAATCTATCGGTGCTTAAAATAGCAACCATTAGTTATCTGGAAAACATTTCCCAAAAGTTATAGACTGCTGAGATTTTTGTCTTATTTTTAGTTCTCCTGGATATTTATGTTTTTGTTGGCTTCTTTATTGCTTTTCAAATTATTTACAGGTAAAAATATCTAATTACCTCATTGACACAATTAATTCAAAACAGTGAAGTATTTTTGCAAAAAAAAAAAGGTAGAAAGAGTTTTGCTTTTTTTTTTAGTTTAGTTACATATTTTGGGGTCGGGGGGAGAGATTCCCAAGCAGGCTTCACGCTCTCAGCGCCGAGCCCAACACAGGACTCCATCTCACGAACCATGAGATCACGACCTGAGCCGGAATCAAGTCAGACGCTTAACCGGCTGAGCCACCCAGGTGCCCCAAAGAGTTTTGCTTTTGTTTATACTTCTAAGATGAACCAATTACAACTTAAAAATTTCATAGTGTTTGCAGTAGCTCCATTCTCGGAATACATTTCTTCTACCTATGGGCAAGAGAAGGGTTGGAAATCTCGAGTTTTTAATAGATGAAATAGCCGTTGAAGTAGCCCTAAGTTTTGTCTTGGTGTGCAGATACTCCCGCTAGGAAACGTCGGTGTTCAGTCTTTCTAGTCTTCTGGTTTGTCTTCTGCCTCCACTTGTCTGCACATTTTTCCAGACACTAGATTCAGAACCATCCAGTCGCTGCTTCCTCATACGCCCCACGCATCCTGCTTGATTGGCTCGTCCTCTGTTTCTCAGAGCTGGACTTCCTTTTCTTCCCCCCAGCCCCCCCGCGGTCAGTCACTTTCTGGAGAGTAGTAATCTTCCGGTGGGGAACTGCTTCACTCAGTGGCCCACTGCACCCGTACAGGGTCGGGGGTGGCAGCTGGGGAGCCCGTGAGCTCCCTTCAGGCCTCCTGGCGAAAGCCGTGGCTTTGGCGTCGGGTGTGAGTGATTTTATCTTTTCCGTCTGTTTTATTTCCACCCCACTGCTCAGCTATAGTTTCACATAGGTGATTGAGCTGCGCTTGCCGTGGCCCTGCCGAGGCAGAAGGATGTCATCGTCCACCATCGTAAATGTCTTTGTTTAAAATTCGGAGCGTCCGCCTTCTTCGCTTTTGGACTCACACATAGAGCAGATCACCTGAGGAGCCCCACTTTGTTTTGAGGGGATCGTTAATTAAGGGCTGATTATTTCCATTTATTTGTCAAAGTAATCTTTAAGGTTTTGTAGGTTTTCAGTAAGAATAAGGTCTGTATTTTATTGACCTTCACCTTTTCCTGGCTGCGAGCTGGGGCACCTGGCTCTGCCCCTTGCCTCTTTTCTGCTCAGCCAGCACTCACCCACTACAAACTGTGTGAAATTACTCGTGCTAATTTTCAGTAGAGGTGATGGTTACTAGTTGGTAACATGGAGCTTGTTTTTGCATTATCATTGTCTACACGTATCAGCTCTTATTTCTGATTTGGCTTTTTTGCAGGTCCCTAGCTGTTGGTAGTAAGTCCGGTTATAAATTTTTCTCCCTTTCTTCTGTGGATAAGCTGGAACAGATCTATGAATGCAGTAAGTGTTTGCTTTATTTTTCCCCCTTCTTAAAAACAAAACAAAAAAATAGACAAAGTATACTTGAATTGGAATGCATTCTCAAACTCTAACACTGTGATTAAAGTCCAGACACCCCTTGACCAGTACTCTTCCTTGACCTTGGGCTTCCTGGGATGACAGCTGTGAACGGGTGGTACGCGTTCTCCAAGGTGTGCGTGTTTGCGTGTTTATAAATGTACTGCGGAGACGCTTGTTTTATGGGTTGTCTTTCAATACACGATATCATGCTGTGTGTAGTGTTCTGTAATTTCTCCCCATTTTAAATGCCAGTGAAACCATTTATCTTTCTGTTATAAACCACTTCCAGAAAACTGAAAACTTCACAGCCCCCATAGGAATGATTTATTTGACATCTTATGGCATTCGAGCGGCCTGCATGTCAGAGGCAATATGGACTTGTAGAAGGGTCATATGAGCTTTGACTTCTTGTTCAGTCACTTATTTGTGACTTCAGATAGATTAGTTCATCTTGGATCTCAGTTTCTTTGGTTTTCTTGTGTGTGTGTGTGTGTGTGTGTGTGTGTGCGCGTGCAGTAGGACTTGCTGAGTAAACGGTAAGCATAGAGTCCTCCTCCCCAGAGAGAATTTGCTAGAAAGCTTTGGGCTTTTCCTGCATACATAACTTGTTTTCTGTGCATGTATGTAGTTACACACATAAAGATATACTTTTGTGTTTGTGTGTGGTTTTGTTTTATATAAGTGAGCTTGTAATGTTTTGCTCTTTATTTTTGTTTTTAAAAACATAACTTTAAATTGAGGTGATTGTAGATACACACGCAGTTGTAAGAAATAATACAGACCCCATATACCCTTCTCCCGGTTTCCCCCAATGGTAACATTTTGTGAAACCACAGTGTAATACCACAACCAGGATAGCAAAGTTGATTGCTCCTGATCAGGTTTCCCCAGTTTTACCTGTATGCGTTTGTGTTTCCTAAGTTCTGTATGGTCTTAACGCCCTTGCAGATTCCTGTTTCCCCCACACACGGCCAAGATGCTGGTTGGTTCTAACAACACAGGGTCCTTCCCGCTGCCCTTTTATAACCACACCTGTCTCTACCTCCCAGCCCTAATCCCTAGTAGCCATTAATCTATCCTCTCCAAAATGTTGTCATTTCAAAAATGACACGGAAATGGAAATATGTAACCTTTTGGGACTGGGTTTTGTTTTGTTTTTTTGTTTTGTTTTGTTTTGTTTTTACTCAGCATCATTCCTTGGAAATTCATCTGAACGGTTGGATGTGTCAGTAGTTCGTTTTTATTACTGAGAAATATTCTGGGGTGTGGATGGACCATAGTGTATCGTCAGTTACCTGTTAAAGGGCATCTGGGCTGATTCCAGTTTGTGACTATTATTACAGATAAAGCTGCTGTGAACAGTCATGTATAGAGATTGTGTGAACATAAGTTGTTACCTCCCTGGGATAAATGTCTAAGAATACAATTGTCGGGTCATATGGTAGGACCCCCCCCCCTTTTTTTTTTAAAGAAACTGCCAAAGTATTTTCCAGGCGGCTGTACCATTTTACATTCCCACCAGTGATGTCTGAGGAATCTGGTTCCTCTGTATCTTTGCTGGCGGTGGGTGTTACTGCTGTTTTTCATTGTACCACCTTGGTCGATATGAACAGTGTTGTCTCATTGTGGTTCTGATTTGCATTTCCTCAGTGGCTGATGATGAGCATCTTTTCGTGGGCTTATTTGCCACGTGTATGTTCTCTTTAGTGACACGTCCGTGTTTTTGCCTGTGTTCTAATAGGCAGATTTGGAGTTTTTTAATGTAAGGTTTTCAGAGTTCTTTAAATTTCCGTGTACTAGTCCTTTGTCAGATACGTGGTTTGTAAATATTTTCTTTGTATGTAACGAGCAGCCCTGAAGGCTGCCTGTGGCCTGACCTCAGTTAAGAATCTTTGTGGGAGAATTAGGGCTTCCGTACTCACGGCATGCTTGTAATGAGTCACACTGGGTTTGGATTCGGGGAAAGATTTAACATGTGCCGTTTCACGTACCTGAGTGAGCAGACAGTGTGGGGAGCGGGGTCTCCTCCCTCCGAACGGCGTCGGCACCTCCGTTCCGAGTGACTGGCCCCGTGTCGTCCGCTTTGCTCCCTCCGGAGTGAGCGTTCCACTTTGGAATTCCGCTTCACCTTCCAGATCTCTGAAGGAGGGCGGTTCACCGAGTAACGGGTTAGGCGTGTCCTTCACCCTTGGGTCCGTCCACTCCGGGGGCGCTTGCAGAGGGCCTGCTCTGTGCCAGCCTGCCCCGCCCGTGGCGATGCGCTAGCAGCCCCTGCTCTCCTGCCGCTTGCACTTAAATGGAGGAAGACCAAGAACGAGTAAATACATTGTGTCCAGCGTTCTGCTAGGCACGTGGCAGCCGGCACAGACCCAGATACTACCCCCTGCATCCCCACCCCTGCTAACTTAAGATGAAAATGTTGGGGGGACGATCTCGTTTCTTCTGCCAGTTGCTTGCAATAGGAAGTTCTCGTGGTCCCCCGGGAGGTCAGAGGCTTCCCTGGCCCCTCCCAGGCTTCGGCCTCCTCCCGGCAGGCAGGTAAGCCTTCGGGTGCCCCCTCGCCTCCATCGGGCAGGTGTGTCCCCCCCCGCAAGTCCCACCCCCTGCAAGTCCGCTGTTTGTTGCTGCCCAAAGGCCAGCAGCCAGGCCCTTCCTAGGGACGTAATCAGCGGCCCTGACTCCACGCTTCCTGTGGGCTGCCTTAGATTTTGCTCCTCCTCTGTCCTCAGACTTGGCCTGCTGATGTTCACTAAATCTTCCTTCCAGAAAGCTTTTCTTTCTAGTATGGAGCCAGAAGATGTGATGTGGGTGATAAGATAGCTGTGAGCTAGTGTGCTTGCTTATCTCGAGTGGGGCCAGGAGTTGTGCAGATCTCCAGTCTGGCCATCTCCCCACTTCCCCGTGGCCCCACGCAGGATTGTTCCCGAGAGGGCTTCTTCAAAGAAGGGTCGCCGGTCTCTGGATTCCATTGGGCCTTTGTGAATGACTGAAACCTTTACTAACACCGTCCCAGGGGAGCCCGAGTTGTGCTGTGACCTGGTTGCTGTAACGAGTAGGGTCATCTGCTTTGAAATCCACAGAATCCACCCCCCACCACGCCGCCATTTGGAACCCAGTGCTTAGAAAGGGGGTAAGAAGACCAAAACCTGGTCTTTACTTCTCAAATTGAATCAGTTTAATGACTCACCTGATTCCTTGAAGTTTATTTACTGATTTTTTGGTGTCTTGTTTTTTAAAGGTTTTTGGTGGAACAAAACCAAAACGTGATGTCTTGATAATACTGTGCAAAGAGTGGGTATTTACTGACCAACACCGTGAGGTGGAACATAGGCTCCTTTGTCCTTAGTGAACTTGGACCCTTAGAAATAGATGATGAAATGGACAAAGAATTTTTCGAGGGTTAATACTTTAAACTGGAAGTGATTGAATTCTTTTGCTCCTGGAGCCTTCTGCGCCTTTCCCCTCTCACATACACTTTTATGGAGTAGATAAAAGAACGTCCCTTCAAAAACAGGTTAACTGCTGAACCGAGATTGTTCTCTGGAGTTTTTCCACAAATAGACCCAGAGCAAAGAACATACTTGATGCCTGGCCTCGCTGTTTGCTGCAGGCCCAGCGTTGGCCTTTCCCTCATAATCTCAAGCATGCATTACAAACTCAGATCTTTGCTCTCGGTCGCTGTTGCTGTTACAGAAAAAATGAGCCAGAACTGGTCTTGGGAAGAGCAAGATGGACAACTGCTTGTTTCTCTGTTGTTTGTTCAAACAACAGCAACAGAAAACCTTTTGCCCAGAATCAGTGGAAGATTTCTTCCTATCGTACTATTGTAATTTCTGGAGTTGCAAGAGCTCCCGTGTACGCCTTGCCCGCTGTCTGTGCCTGCCTGTTTGTTTTGTCATTCTCTTTCTCTCTGTCCTTTGTGTGTGTGAAGATGCATAATGTGCACATGTATGGTCTCCCTTCCCTGTGAAGGGTGTGTGGTCGTTATTTGTAAAATATCACTTAGGTTGGGAGGAAAAGTTGGCTCTTTTACATTCTATATTGTGCGTGTTTGCATTTTTAAGTTTCTGAGCTAGGAAAACTTTTATGCGTCAGGAGGCACTCGGTTGTGAAATCGAACATAAGCAGCGAAAGTGACCAGTGCCTGCTTCGACATCTGCAGCGCCTCCACAGACCTAGAGCGCGTCTCCTCGGGAGACCAACCCTTCTTGACCGGACAGGCATCATCTGCGTCCTACGGGTCGAGAAACGGTGCTTTTTGAGATCGTTCTGATTAGACACACAGCTGGTTCGAGTGTCAATTTCAGTGGGCTGTATAGTTTTGGATCTTAAGGGGAGAGGTCCAGTAGCCTCTCTGCGTAAATCTGCCGTGATGAGGTTTGGGCTCTTGCCTCTCTTGAGAGCTGCAGGCATCCGGCAGACACGCCTCGTTTACAAGTGTGTTATGTCACTTGTTTCATGGTTTCTTCTTCGCTTCTTAGTGCTTTAGAGGTGTTCTCATTGCCAGTTCTAAGTAGTGCCAGCAGAAGCAAACAGCATTCTTTGGGGGGCAGGGGGGTGGGTAGCTCACCAGCAGGGGAAGGGGCAGATGGAGAGAGAGAATCTTAAGCAGACTCCATGCCCCACATGGAGCCCGACAGGGTGTCGATCCCATGACCCTGGGATCATGACCAGAACGGAAGTCAAGAATCGGATGTCCCTAGCGTTCTTTTTCACATCAAGTAATTCTAGGGGCGCCTGGGTGGCTCGGTCAGTTAAGCATCTCATTTCAGCTCAGGTCGTGATCTCATGGTTTGTGGGTTCGAGCCCCACGTTGGGCTCTGTGCTGACAGCTCAGCGCCTGGAGCCTGCTTCAAGTTCTGTGTCTCCCTCCCTCTCTGCCCCTCCCCTGCTCACACTCTGTGTCTCAAAAAATAAAATAAACATTAAGAAAAAGGGGC